AAAGCGGAAAGCTCCTCTTAAAGATCATTTCCAATCATGGTCCTGGCACAGCTTTTATCTCCCAGTTGGACTCGAACCGGCAACCTTGCGATTATGACCTCCGGAGCATAAAATTTTAGATTAACAATTTCCTTACTATTGCAAATTGCTAATCTAATAAATCCCTAACCCTAACCTTATAAAAAACAGTTTTGATTTTACATTACACCTGATCTTGAATTCTGATTGGTCAATCAGAAGTGACAATGCATCACACTGATAATAAATAATAATTGTTTAAAAATATATAAATTTAAATAAAAAATAATAAAATATATAAAATATTATAGAAAAAAATAATAAGGTAGATAAAAGAAAAAAGTGACCTTTATATACTTTTTTTATTGACATGTTTTACAGAAGCAAGATAGTTATAAACAAATTTATAATTTTATCGTTTGGAAGGTAAAGTCGATATAAAATTAAAGTATCAACTCGCTCTATATGAATAAAAGGCTATTCGGTATCTAGTGATTAGAAACGAATCCTTAATGCCACAAACTGAATGGTATAAGAACCATTAGATTCTATAGACCTTGTTAACTTCGATTTTATGTGATCTTCCACCGCCAGGTTACTCTTTTTACTTTATAAAAGTCAAAATCTTATCACGGTTTTCGAAATGGCTGAAAACGACAAAATTTTTTTTTGGCGTACATTCGAACACTCGATTACCTTAGATTCAGAAACAATTACATAAATCGGGCATCAATCTTCAACCAACATGCTAAGGTAATCGAGTGTTCGAGTGTGCACCAAAAAAAAAAAAAATTTATTTGTCATCTTAAACCATTTCGAAAACCGCGATAAATAATTAATATGATCATATTAAGTAAAGATCAAAATATATATTCTAAAGTTTGATATAAATTAACTTTTTATTTTAATATACTTTTATTTTTTATGTCTTACAAAATATTGAGAACCAGATTTTAAATTCTCGGTTCTGAACCAAACCAATCAAACCAAATTTAACTTAAGTTTAGAACTTATATAAAAACCTGGTTACTATATTTTTTAATTTGGAGCCTAAAGGTTTTAGAACATAAACCAAACCTAGATTAACTTCACCATCCCTATACAAGAAGTTGCAATTTTTCTGCGATGGCGAGTTGGGTACGTGTCATGTTGGCAAGATAGACAACCATTAGTAAATCCTATAATAAGTTATATGTTATTGAGATATTACAAAATAAATTGTAGTAACATGGAAAAAATTTTATACGGACCTGTAGATGACTATTAAACATTTTTTCAAATTCAGCCTTATCTATCTTTGGTACAACTGAAATTGTATCCATTAAAAATCTCCCAATTTTATTATTTGCAGGTACACTTCCGTCCTGAAAAAGATCATTAAATTTAAGAAATCACCATAAGATATAAATATTTATAAGAAAATTTTTTTTTTTTACTTACTAAGACTTTATTTACATATTCTGAAACTCTCTCCAACATCTCTTGAACAACCAAGATCGTTTTTTCAAGGTTATCCATATCAGAAATGAGAGAAGTTGAGCGATCCGACTGATCCTTCGCAGAAGCGAGTAGATCAACTAATTGAAAGGTTTATAGAATTTAGTGTATTTGAGATATTCTCCATTATTTTATGAAAATCAATTAAACTAGATCACTAACGTCCACTGCGCTCGGCATCAAAATATTTGACATCACATGGAACAGGTAAGAATAGGCAATTCTCTGGTTTGGCCGAAATTCCAATTGGCGCACTGACCAAATTGAAAATAGTCAATTCGATATGTTGATAAGTTGCTTAAATAAAATATTAAATGTACCTAACATAGGTTTTAACGCCCAAGAGTTTCTCTTCATTCTTAAGATCCGTATCCATTGTTAAATGAATAGCTTGAAATGGAGACGAAACTTCCTTAGAATAGAAATCTTGAATAAGAGCATTCCATTGATTGAGATTGGATCCGGTTGCATACCATCCAACAATCACTTCTTTGGCATTGACCTTTTTGTGAAGTTCGAACATACTTTGGTGATATACCATATCCACGGCAACCTGGGAGCGAGAATAATTTATCACTTACAGAACAGATTCATGAAAAATAGGCATCTATATGTGCTTTATCATTTTTACTAAACACACCTGATTTTGAGACTCGTCATGGGGAACAGGGAAACAATTTCGAACTTCAACCTCACTACCATCTTCACTCCTTACGCCAAGCAACGTTCCAATAACTCGATGTTGATTTTCTTGCCTTCGAAGGTAATGATCGAGTATAGAAAACAACACTACTGGATTAACTGATACTGTAAAAGAACGGCTTTGAGGAACCACAAACCCAGTAGCCGAGGTTGTGGGAGGAAATGAAAGGTTTAGGGCCGAAGTTGCGGCGTCGATTGGCATGTTTGAAAAAAAATGATTTCTAAAAAAAAAATTCTGGAATCCTGTAAATTATCATGTCCAATCATCTTTCAGGATCAAAAAAAAAAAAAAGTCTTCCAATCATTTTTCGAGATCCAAAAAGATGTTCATTTTAAAATCTAACGCTAAATTTTGCTTTCGAAAACTTGATAAATGTCGAAACGTTCAACAGAGGAATTAGAACAATCTGAAACTTTGGGAGACCCAAAGGCACCTTTTGGTAAACATAATCGAAATGGCGAATCACTGGAAGTAGAGGAGTCATTCGGAGAATTCGAGGACCCATGGGAAGACGAATTCGAGACAGAATCAGAAATAGAAGATACGGAAACCGTTAGTGATGGTGAAAATGGTAATAATATTGGTTCTATTTTATTATTAAGAATCAATTGCTGCCTCTGCAATCTGTTCTTTTATCTATTTCTATTAATATCAATTCGCTCGAAGCCATGGAAATTGAAGAAAGCGAAGATCACGTATACCTTCCCGGTCAAAAATTGGAGGAAGGTGAAGCTCTTGAGGCAGATCAATCTGTCTATGAAATGTTACATTCTTTGAATGTCAAATGGCCATGTCTTAGTTTTGATATATTACATGATAGTCTTGGTGAAGAGAGAAAAATGGTTGGAGTTTGTCAAAGTTATTAGAAATCAATTATCCCACGTTCCATATGTTTATGATTTTGAATTTCACAGTATCCAGCTACAGCTTATATTGTTGCTGGCACACAAGCAGATAAGCCAAACAAAAATGAATTGATGGTAATGAAGATGTCACAACTTCATAAGACCCAGAATGATGGTGGTAATTATGATACTATTTATAATGGTACCTCTAGTCAGTCTCCAATCTTTTATGGATTTATTTTTACAGACAACTCTGAAAATGACTCTGATTCTGATGATGGAATGCTGGATGAAAATCCAATTTTAGAAATTAAAAGCTTAAAGCATTATGGAGGCGCTAATCGCGTCAGGGTACGTTTGAAATCAATGGTATTTATATTTAGAAACACGATTTCATTAATATAAATTTGAATTAAAATTCGGTTAAAGATGATGCCTCAGAAGGATTGCTATATAGCAGCAACTTGGGCTGAAACAGGAAAAGTACTCATATGGGATTTAGCACAAGTTATCAATTCACTAGACACTCCAGGACGACAAGTTCCACAGAAAGCACAGAAACCACTTTATACTGTGGAAAGTCATAGTACGGAAGGGTTTGCAATGGATTGGTCAGGGACAGTTGCTGGAAGGTAGAACTAGGAATAACATTCTATAGTTGTTTAGGGTCTTGAAAAAAACAATTTTATATCATTTTGATTTAATAATCAGGTTAATAACCGGCGATATGCACACGAATATTTATCTCACAACAAAAGCACAATCCACATTTACGGCTGACAGGATTCCATTTACGGGACATACATCCTCCGTGGAAGACTTGCAATGGTCGCCGGTAGAAAAGAGTGTGTTTGCAAGCGCATCTGCAGATCAGACAATATGTATATGGGACATTAGAAGTAAAAAGAAAGCAGCATTGAGTGTCAAAGCTCACGAAGCGGATGTGAATGTGATTACTTGGAATAGGTTTACATAAATTATAAATATATATCTATGTGTATATTACCTAAAAAGATTGTGCAAGCTGATGTTTTGTTATATTACACGAATTTTATAGGAAGGTCGATTATTTGCTTGCGTCCGGATCAGATGACGGCGTGATTAGTATATGGGACCTACGGACATTCTTAAAGTGCGTATATCGAAATTTATCACATTTGGGGTGTAAATAACTCAAAATTATTGTAATTTTAATACAACAGCAATAGTACAAAACCTACACCAGTTGCAACATTTAAGTGGCACTCAGCGCCGATCACCTCAATTGAATGGAACCCTATAGAAGAATCAGTTTTTGCAGCTTCTGGGTCGGATGACCAAATATCCCTTTGGGATCTTTCGGTGGAACATGATCCTGAAGAAATTTCACATAAAATCTTAAGAAAAGGTGACATTGAAGTGCCATCACAGCTCTTGTTTATTCATCAGGTATGACATCATAGGAGAATGATTATTAGATTTATTTATCATATCTTAATTATCTTAATGTGTCTTTTATAATAATTTAGGGCCAAAATGACATAAAGGAAATACATTGGCATCCACAAATACCCGGATGTATGATCAGTACTGCTGCGTCAGGATTCAACGTTTTCAAAACAGTTTCCGTATAACCTGTATAAATTAATGAATTTATTCGAACAATTTACGATTATTCTTTACGAAGGTTGTAAAGATGCAATCTTATATCAAAAAAGTTCAAAATGTCAATTGTTATATAAAATTATTGAAAAATCTACGTATAAATGCTTTTATTGTTGTACTGTCATGTCAATCGGATAAACGATAGTCAAATTCATGTTTAATTAATTTCGTTGACCGCTGCTTATAGTACCCAGGGTTTTATTCAAGGACTTCATTTTTAAAATTGTATAGTACTGGCTACTATTCACGAATCCAGCGATCTCATTGGTGGAGAAGGGATACTTCATTGGTAGGTGAATACTGTAGGCGGTGGCCAACGGTAGATTGGTAGATAAAATTCTGTTCTTTTCTTTTTCTTTGAGCTCTTTTCATATAGTTATTGTTAACACTTTTTGTATTTATTTCTGCAAGTTTCTTTGCTTGTTGCAGCTTACTATATGTGTTTGGTTTTTTTTCACTGCTTTGACAAATATTGTATTTTGTTATATATATTTTTGGTTTTCTTTTATTAGCTCTTTCAGTATCAACAGATTGTTTATTATGCATCTGATTGTTATAGTTTTTTTTGTGCTTAGTTTTTTTGAGGTACAATATATTTTTTTTATTTTGTTTATTTCTTTTCAAAAGCTTGATTAGTTGTAAAGTATATATTTTGTTTCTGGTTTTAACATTTTGTTTTTCTTTAACTGGTTCTTATTCTGCTATTTATAATTATTTTATAAAAAGTCTTGTTAGTTTATTGATTTTTTTATTTTTTTTTATTCTAAGTAGTATTTTATTTTGTTACATTTAACTTTATTTATATAATTATTTTTTGTATTTATTTTTTTTTGTAAAGTTTGTTCTATTATTTTATTTATTTTTTTTATTTTTATTTTTAACTTAAGCAATCATGTTAGTACTTTATTAAGATTCTTGAAATTACTTTTGCAATTACATAGATTTACTTAACAACTAAGTTTAACATTACTTGACTACTTAAAAGGTACTTAAGTGCAACTTGTTACATTATTTTAAGCAGAAGTAGGCCACTTGTCTGACTACTTAAAGTTTGTAATAGAAGAGTCTTTTTTTTTTTATGACAAGTTTCAATATTGTTTTCCTAATTTCTTCATTAATTCTATCCTTTTTTTTCTTTTGCTAGTTTCTTTTCTTCTTTGATCTTTTGCTGATTTGTCTTTCCTTTCTTTTTTGGATCTTTTTTTTTAATCTTCTTTTTCTTCATTTTAGTCATTATGCTTTCTTTTTTCTCTTATTCATTAACCTTTTCATTCTGTATCTTTCAAATCTGTTTATAAAATATGTTTCATGCTGTCTTTGCTACTATTTCTATAAATTGCTGTCTTGCCTTAATGTTTAGAAGTTGTGTTAGTCTGTTTTGTATCTTTTTTAGAATTAAACTTTTAATTAAAGCTTCTCTTATCTTTATTTTTTCTGTTTTACTTTTTTCAAAGAGTGTTATATATAGTACATATAGTAGGATGCAAGTTTTTTCTTCTTTCTTTAACTCTTTTTAGGCTGTTGCAATAGTTACTTTTTGGATTTGTTTTCAAAGATTTTCTTATCTTTTGCATAATGCCAAGTGTGACTATGTTTCTTTAACTTTATCTTAACATACTTGACATTCTGTCATTATATATATATCTGATCATCTTCTGTTAAGTTCTTCTAAGATTGAAAGTTTATCTATCATATATTTGATAAATATACATCTTTTTGTACTAATTCTTCTTGTTGTGCAGTGTATTCTTTTAGTTGCTTTAAGCTTTTTTCAGAATTGTGTCTAATTATAAATTATGATTTCTGTTTTTGGTTCTAATTTTTTAATTGTTTTTGTTTCTCTCCATTCTGCTTCTAATCTTGCATTCATTACCAATTTGCATAAGTCTTGCTAGAATGTTAGTTCGATTGTTTTCTCATTCTAGGCAGTACTCTATCTTTTTACAACTTATTTTTTCTATCTGTATTATTTTTTCACTTGTTGTTTTTTTTTTTGCGAGATTATCAGCTTTGTTGTTTCACTTGTTCTTGCTGTAACTTTTGACTTTTATTAACACTATTTGTATCTTTTTTGTGTTGATAAAATCTATAATCTTTATTATTTATATTGCATTTTTCTTCTTAAGGATCTTTATTTTATCTATTTGCTTTAAATCTCTACTGATATTTCTTATTGCAGCATTACTATCTATATATATTTCTACTTGTTTTTCTTTTGATATTATTAGAATTCCTGTCTATATTGTTACTAATTCTGCAATTGTTGATATTGTTCATCCTTTTAGTCCTAGTAATATTTCTTCTTCTGATTACTCTTGTGTCTTATTTATCTGAATCCAACCTATATCTATGTTCTGATCTAGTAATTCCTCTTTGGTCTTTGCATTTGTTACATTGTCTGTATATATAATAATTTTGTTCTTGTCTCTTGTTAAGTTTCTTCTTAGTATCTTTATAATTTCTTGGTTAACATTCTTATTTAGATTTTGTTATTTAATTATCTTTAGTTATAACTCTTCTATCATTATGAAATCTATGAGTTTTTGCTTATTATTTCTTAACTTTTCTATTTCTACTTTTTCTGTTAATTGGTCCAATATTAACTTGATCTTATTGTTACTTTTTTCTATTTATATATCAAGAATTATTTTAATTTTGTTATTTACTCTTATCCATTGCTGGCAGCTGCCTTCTATCTGTTTTTCTTCTTCTGTATATCTGCTATATTTGCTAATTTCTGTTACTAGCTTGTTTTTTTTATTTTGCATTTTTCAGTATTCTACTAAAATCTTCTTCTTCTTCTTCTTTACTATCTTTTCTAGTCATCTACAGTCTTGTACACTATATATTATCTATTTCTTCTTTCTTTTATCTTCTAATATATACTTTCACTCTATCTTTATTACTTAAGTATTATATCTGTTTGTCTTAAAACATTCTTTAACTTCTCTGTTTAATATTCTTTTGAGTATCTTTAGCTCTATTTCTTTAAATCATTCAGCTTTCTTGCCCTTGCTTAACTGCTCATGATAATTTTTGAATTGTTGCTATGTGATTAGATTTTTAACTTTTGTGTCAAGCAGTTGATTTAAGTATATTAGACCTGCTTTACTTATTTTAGTTCTACTTTTTTTCACAGATGTGTTTTCAAAAGCTTTTGTATTCTGGTACTGTGTTCAAAAGTTCTTCATAAATTACTTTCAGTTCTTATATTTATTCTTTATTCTTTTGTTTTTATTATTGTTAAACATGCTAGATTGTTTTTTCAACATTTAATGTTAGCTAGTATCTTTTTTGGTTTCTAAATATTCTTTGTCAAGCCTACTCTTTGATAGCCTTGTGTTATTCTTAGCTTTGTTAGCTATTCTAGATTATCTTGTTTGTTTAATTTTTCTAGCAGACTACTTACTTGCTTTATTACTAGCTTTTGTTATAATGTTCTATATTCACTGAATCTTTATGTTCTATTATGCAATTTTCTAATGTTTTTTACAAATTGCTCTTCTGCTTTGTCAGACAAATTATTGGTTAATATATTTCATATATATTTTTTTTTAAAATCTTAGTTAACTGAAGCATATAGCTTAGTTTTAGGATTATGATTATATTGTTTATATATGCAATCTGGCTCATTGTTATTTTTTTGTATTTAAGATCTTTAATCATTTGACTAATTATTTTTTTAGCTTTCTTTTTGATTAATACTTCTTATATTTTGTTGTTTAACTATATTTTTAGTAAACAAACTATTTTGCTTCTTGGTTCTTCAATTATTTTGCTTTTCTCAAAAATTACTTCTCTTTCTTCTTTTCTAATCTTTGTATTCATTACTAGCAGTTTTGATTTTAATCTATTTATTTCTATATCATTTATTTTGAAAACTTCTTGACTATTTCTAAGATCTCCAATGCTGATTCTTGCTGTTTGCAATCCATATTGTATTGTCTATATATATGATTGCTGCTTGGCAATATCTTGTAATATTATTATATTGCATCTTTTCTCTAATTGGTTGTTCGACTATATACTTTAAACTTTCTTTCTTTTGTATTCTGACTAGTAATAGATCGTAAAAAAGATATTATATTAATAGTGATATTACTTTCTTTTGGTCTATTCCATCTTCTGTTATTACTTCTTCTGTTAATCTGTAGGCTGTAATTATTCTTAATTGTCTTTTATAAAAAAGATTTAAGATGTATTTAATTGTCTTTCTAGGTATCTTGACTCTCTATAATACTAATTCAAGGCTTTTCAATAAGACTGAGTCAAATGCTTTTTTTATATTTTACAGAAGTATCTATATTTCTTTGTTCTTTTCCTTTGCTTCTTCTATTATCATGTTCAAGATATATACTGGCTGCTCTGTTAAGTTTTTTAGTAGGCCTGTATAGTTTGGTCTCTTAAGCACTTTTCTTTCTATAAACACTTTAGCAAAGCTCTTTGTTATTATCTTTGTTACCACCTTTCTAATATTTCAATTAGTGCTATTGGACAAATATTGTTTAAGCTATACTTTCATTCTACATCTTTTGGTATTAGGTAAACTTGTGTGATTTTCTACTTGGTTGGTATTTCTTCTACTTCTAAGCAAAGATTGATAAAGGCTCTAAAGATTTCTTGTATTTTCTTGCCTGCCTATTTGATTAGTATATAGCTTATGCTGGATATGCCTGGAGCTGTTTCTGCTTTAAGTTTTTTTAGTACCTCTTCTCATTCTTTTTCTTTGATATTCTCTTCAACTTTCTAATATTATTCCTCTTTGATATGTTTTTGTGACTTGTAAATTTCTTTTCATATTTCTGACATTTCTTCTAGTTTCATGTTTTTTTTTCTGAATTGTTTCTTGTAATGTTCTGTTATACTTATCTTAACTAAATTTGGCTCTATTATCAGGTTTGTTACTTCTTCCTCTTGTTTGATAAATCTGTTGAGCATTATTTTTTTGTAAAGCTTGTTTAAC